CTGCCCGTGACACACAATCTACTTTTGGCGTCACACATTGCGACACACCGGTATTCCGTCTATCACTGTCAAAAACTCCCAGACTCCCGCTTGCATTCGTCTAAAACTACTCGACATTCAAGGCATTCTTCCTTTATGCCTTTCCTGTCGATAAAGGGCGCCCTTCGAAAGTTTTCTGCCGCTAGCGTGGCTCTGCAGTACCTCGGGGATTGGAGGTAATGCCAGCTTTATGGACCTCGCATTGTTTTGCACTGCCTCTGTAATCACCCCACCTTTTATCATGTGATGACATCATCTAGTTATGCCATGTTTTGCGTCACATTCACGTCCTGAAAGTTTGTTATATCTGATATCATGTTGTTGTCATATGGCGAAGTCATCACCTGACGGTAATCTTTTTTTTTTTTTTGCGCCACTCGTGTTGCCGTTGACGGTCAATTTTGGCGTGCGATGAGGCACCTGAAGATTTCGCCTAAATATTTTTATCTAGTGTCCAAGTTCACATAGAGCTTTTTCACGATGTTCTTGAATACTACTTGATATTTTAGCCATGTATCGAAGTAGGACATTCTTGCTAGCTGGTTTCTTCATACCTTCAGCAAGGTTAAACTTTTCGAAAAAATGAAAAAGAAGGAAACAACCGGAGAAGGGAACGAGTGTTTTGATATATCTTCAGTTTCCTAATATTTAGCTTTCAGTACAAGGTACAGCCACCCAGTTTTACCTATAACGAATAACAGCTTATAACTTGTAACGGATAACAGCGGCGAAATAAACAACGATAATGTGCATGCCAGCGATGAACAGCCCTGTGCTGTTGTATTCTGCTGGGCTCTTCCTGAAACCAGACACCAGGTCGCCCGAAAGAGAGGTTTACTAACTCAGGGATCAGTGCTCGTGCGTTCAAGTTAAAAAAAATTGGGTCACTGTACATCTTTGGGACGCACTTTTCAGACAAAAGCGAACAGTGGTTTTAAAGTCTACTCACACTCTCTATTATTCCTACTTTCTTGTTTTTCTATACGAACACCAGAGTCTAGCTTAGCGCGTATTGTTCCCACCCATTGACAATACTAGGAGCAAAGCATTTTATGTGCCATCAGTCGCGAAGTTTTCGAGATTTTGCAAAACGCGACCATTAATCGTGGAACCTCGTAGGTGGCGTCGGCGTACACTAGTGATGCAAAAAATAATTAATGAAATTCAGTAAAAAGTGATGTGAAATCAAGTAAATGGGTGTTTGTGCAGTCGGTGTATCAAAAGTCACGGGACCTAAATGTAGGTAGCATGACGCTACCATTCACGTCACCTGTCACCAGAAATACGGTAATGTTCACCATAATGTATTAACGCGACGTACACCGTGATGTCATTGTGACATCACAGCATGCCCTCACATGATGAAGTCATTGTTCGACATCGCCACTTTGGCAAAGGCGGGCGAATCGCAGTGGCTGAGAAAAGCTATGTGAAGTGAAGAACGCATTCAGTGCCCCAAATTATCTTAAGCAATGCAAACCCACATTGGATGCGGCAAGCCTTAAAGGATCACTGACACAACAATGGCGCTCCTTTTTTGTTGTTGTTATTGCAATAGGTAGCTTATGACCCACTTACCACGGCGAGAAACGTCGTTTGCCCGAGTGCGTGACGGTTACTGATTTAGAGACGTTTTTAGAGCACCCAATCTCAGTTCCAGTTTCAAAAAAAACCAAGCTAGCCAGGAGCAGTTCTAGGGGCAAAGTACAGACACCTTACCGCGTGACCACGCTAAATTGTGGCGTGGGCGGCGCGCACGACAGTGGGTGCCACTCTGAGAGATAGAACACTCGGAAATAGAACACTCGAAGCTGCAGGCATGGAGGAGGAAATCAAAGGTAGCTAGCGCAAGTGCAAGGTGCTTGTCAGCAAGCAGCCAACACAAATTCGTTACGTAAGTTTGTTCACATTGCGCCTGCGTGGATGTCCGCGTCGTGAGGGGCTCCGCATCTCGCTCAGTCACGCGCAATGATATTTAAAATTGATTTGAAATATGTTCTCGGCTATATTAGCCATTTATGTCTGGTATATGTTGTAAAGTTCTCCACATACATCTCTCTCGCTCATTCGAAATTTTAAGTCAGGGCTCCCTTGAAGAAAAGGGTGGAGTTCAATACGACCAGCACAGATGGAAAAGTGGAAGAAAATACGGCTTACGCCTCCAAGTCGTCTTAGGGAAATGCATAAATGACCACGTGATTCTTTGTTCGTTTTAATGTAGCGATATAAAAATAACTTAGGCAACACTCACTGATGAGTGCAGCCCATTTTCTATAGCCCTGGTGTACCAGCTTTTTCGCTTCAATTCTCTGTGGTACCTACACCTGGCTGTCCTTGTTTCGGTGCGAATGGCTGTGTGCCCGCTTTTTTGTGCTTTCAGTGTTGTCGGTATAGCGTGTTGGGCTGGTGTTTGTATAGGGAGACATGAGGATAAAGACCTGTAAAGCAAGACAGGTGAAAAGGGTGACAGGATGTTCTGTGCGGTATTTGTAACTCTGGAGTTGGTTGGGAGCTAGGTTTTCGTATTTGTCACTTCGTTAGAACAACCTCTTCACATTCATTTTTTAGGCGTGAAGCTCCTGAAAGCATGGGTCTGTCCATCTCTTGTATGTAGGTACGTGACCGCCTATAGTTCCACCTTTGCCAACTGCCCACGACTTTGTCTTTGCAAACCTGCCACTATGCCTCATCACCGATCAACCACTTCACCGACCATAAAGCAAATAGTGTTGAGAAGTAACCAATATGAAATGCAAGATGGTAGTCTACTTGTAGCCAGGTGCACATCAAAGAACCATAGATTGTTCCACTGTATCCATCCCTTGCTTGTACGTGACTGTTTATAGTTCCATCTTTGCAAACTGCCCACTACTTCGTCCTCACAAACATCCCACTACGCCCCATCACTAATCCACCACTTCACCGACCATAAAGTCCTTATAATGAAGGGAGAACGGAAGCGACGTATAGCTACCACTTACGAATAATAAAATTTCTTGTATAATTATATACAGTGTTTGTCACGTCTTTGATGGTCTAGAGGGTGATATTCGCGGATTGTTCATGGTTTAGCCATAAAATCCACCAGCGCTTCACCCCACTCATCATTATTCACTCCGTAGATATGCTGCGATTTTTTAACAGCCAAAAAGAGCAAGGACAGCTGTGTACCCATTCCTCTTTTCCATCCTTTAAGTCTGTGTGCTGTACGTGTGCGTGCGCTACAAAGTGAACGCTTCAAGGCATTCCCATCGATGCACTATGAGGAAACCCGTCGTTCATGCACCCTTTTAACGTATGTACACTTGTATGGCAGTACGTTGCCTCATATACAATCTGCACAGTCGACGTAAGAGGTTAGTCTTATCATACGGCCACTATACATACTTCAAGTTCCCACTGTGTCTTCAATGCTTTGCAATCAATAGGTACAGATGGCGTTTTCGCACTTCTGAGTTATCTGTGCTGTCTGTACTCGCAAACATATGCTTGTTATTGGCGGGCCCGAGATCAATGATAAGTACAATGTTACTGGCTGAAATCACACCTTCGCTTATTTCGTCTAGGTAATTCAGGTAAATTTATTCTCAACGCGTCATTCGTAATCATTCTTCGCCTATGGTCGGAAGCACGATTCCCACTGAGCTTTTTTAGGTATCTCTGTTGCCATACAGATAGCTCATCTAGTTTCCCGTCGCTAGCTATGAATAAAGTGCCAACACACCAACGCCTTATGTGGTAGGCACGGGCTACACTGAAACAAAGCGTACACGCAACACAGGCTCTCTTACACAGTCGCTAGCAGATTTTTGAGCTTGAGTAGTGACTATGCAGTACAAGGATGCAAAAACCAACGACCATTCACTGCAATATCCTAATCTGCAAAGCCTCAACGAGAGCGGTGACAGTCCGATGCCAGCTAACCGCAGGTTGCCTTTTCGTGCACGTTACCCGATTTCGGCATGCCTAGTGACTATTAATTAGACGCTCTCCCTGGCTTGGGATTTTTTGTGACGTTGTTGTTGTTGTTGTTGTTGTCGTTGTTGTTGTTGTTGTTGTTGTTGTTGTTGTTGTTGTTGTTGTTGTCGTCGTCGTCGTCGTCGTCGTCGTCTTCGTCGTCATCTTCATCATCAAGCCACTTGATCCCCTTATCCTTCTCTCTGTCTGTATAGATTGTTTACAGTTTTATTACCGACTGGTGAAACATTGCACACAATGCATCTGTGCATTCGGTGACACTTGAGTTATTTTCATACCTCTGTGATATGTACTGTTTCCTGCACAGAAAAACTGGTTTCTTAATGCGCCTCAAGTGAAACATGCCCATATATGTGCTGAAGGTGACTGCGCGTTGATTTCAGCAAGAAATATAGCACTCGCCCGAACAGGCCCGCTTCTGACAATCTGTGCAATCCTATGCATGCAGACTAAAACTGCTGCAGAAAAGGTAAACGTCTAGACAAAACACACAGTCCTGCCAATCAGCGTTACATGCGCGTCTTCTGGCGCTGGCCTGGTTACACTACATAGGTATAATGATGGCATTCGTCTGCGAGCTCTAATTGAGAATGAGATAGCCGACCAGCCTCACAGATGTCTAGGTACATTTGTTATCTTACAATAAAATATGTGCCAAGGAAATAAGCTCGCGGCAAGCACATAAAATGTCACCGCTATCTCACCGCTATCACCTCCGAACAATCCGCACGTTTATATAGAAAGGTCGCGACATGCGGCTTTGCCCTCAAACGCTAGACCAGGTTTCACAAGACTCGGTACATTCTCTTTCGCTCTAAGTCTCCTGTTACCCTTAAGTAAGTAAACATACACGTTAAGCGACGTGTAAGAAAACACGACGAAAGAAAGATTGATAAATGGTACGCACAGGTTGCTTGCTGGAAAGCTCTAAACACTCGAAAGAGAAAAATAACGCCTTTTAAAGGTGACGTATTCTTTAAGAGAACCTAAGCTTGAAGAATATGCAGGTCGCCACGCCCTTTGCTGTCAGTCTAATCAATGCAGAATTACGCTCTGACCCGTGTTGATGCTGAGCTGGACATTTTCCAGCACCTCCCACCTTCACAAATAGCGCAAGATTATGAAATTCACTCACAAAAATAAGCATATATATTTATTTATTTATTTATTTATTTATTTATTTATTCAATACTGCAGACTCGAAGTCCAAGCAGGGTGGTAATACACATACAAATAAAATAATTGCGAAACGAAACAATAAAGGGCGAAACAGGTTGTTTGGTAGGTTAGTTCATTCATCACATGTATTAGTAAGACAGTTCTATTCACTTATGGTTCTTGGAAAGTGCGAATACTTCAGTAGGTCTGTGCGAGCAAAATATGGGATCAAGGTCTTTGGGTGGTGGTCTCGGGTGGGCCGGCTACTTAGGGGTGTCAAATACGGGGATGGGTCTAGAGCTATATTTTTGTTCAAAAGTTGATCTAGGAATTCTAATCTAGCTTTTTGTCTTCGCATCTGCAGTAATGGAATGTTGTTGGCTAGCAATAAATTTGAGGGTGAGTCTAACTTGGAGTACTTGTTGAATATAAATCTAACAGCTTTTCTTTGAATACGCTCAAGAGTGTGTATATTACGTTTTGTATAAGGATCCCATACTATGCTCGCGTACTCTAGTTTTGGCCGCACAAGGGCTGTGTAACAATGTAGTTTAACATTCGTGGGAGCACTTTGAAGTTTATGTTTAAGAAGACATAGTTTACGAAAGGCAGATGAACAAACATTATCAATATGGAGATTCCAAGATAAGTTGGAAGTGAGTGTCACACCAAGGTATTTGTAGGAGTTTACTTGTTGCAGCGGTGAAGACCCTAATTTGTATGTATACGATTGTGGATTCCTTTGGCGAGTCACTGGAAGGCACACACATTTGTTCGCGTTGAGACACATTCTCCATTCGTTGCACCATTCATATATATTGCCAAGACTAGTGCTCAGATCGTTGAAATCGTCAGTGGAACGTATTTCTTTGAACAAACATATATAATGACGTTCTTTCTCGACTCGATGCGTCATTTCTTGTAAATTTCTTCCCTTATCTAGGCGGCTCTCTTAAGCTCTTAAGCACTTTCTTTCATTTACTGTTGCTTTCAAAGAGCTGGTACGTCCTTTCATGTTGTGATGACAGCGTACAGTAACGCTCCACCAACACTTCCTGTACTTGTACAGGTTAGAGTGCTCACAGACGGGTGCCGAGTGAAGAACAAGCAAGATGTAGCTCTTTAGACGCTGTGTCTTGTTTCTTTCTTGCCCCGCCGCGGTGGTCTAGTGGCTAAGGTACTCGGCTGCTGACCCGCAGGTCGCGGGTTCAAATCCCGGCTGCGGCGGCTGCATTTCCGATGGAGGCGGAAATGTCGAGGCCCGTGTGCTCAGATTTGGGTGCACGTTAAAAAACCCCAGGTGGTCAAAATTTCCGGAGCCCTCCACTACGGCGTCTCTCATAATCATATGGTGGTTTTGGGACGTTAAACCCCACAAATCAATCAATGTGTCTTGTTTCTTTTTCACTCTGCCCTTTTCTGCGTACACCATAATCTCTGTGAGATGTGATACACCCAGCCGTTGTTGTGGACATTTTAGATTGTTCCGTCGTCGCCACCACTTACCCGCTAGTCTGGTATGATTGTCCCTCCCTCGATAGCCCCTATATACCAACTCATTTACTGACATAATGGTTTCTTTCGCTTTCGATAGCACGAGGCGATTGAGGTTTCCCTTGCTATTGGCTGGTGCTCTTAGCTCGGCCTCTTCACTCCTTCCTCTTCACTCAGTCATGTCTCTATAATTTGCTCAGCTTGTGCAGAGCAACTTTCGTGGAGGGCGTTGGAGCATGGTTAGCATTCCTGAGTAGCACAAATTTTCTTCAACATAGACGCTTTTTGGGGTGGTTCCTCGATACCCACTGCATTCATTGCCGTAACTCAAGTGACATTTGAGTGAAGATTTCTGTGTTAAGTGCATGCTGAGTTTTCATGAGTGTTCAATAGTCGGTACCAGAAGAGGTCAGCTCACCCGCGAAATAATCGAGGGTGAAATTAATAATAGGCTGGCAGTAGCTGTATTTCTGAACCTTTGACTGCCCTTTCGTGTATGAAGTTAGCCAGCTTACGTAAACAACATATTTTTTGTAGAGGGCGTGTAATCATGATGGTTGAAAAGCAATATATATATATATTGAATAATGACCTCCCCCCCTCTTTTTCTCGTTTTCCGTGGAGCGAGGGTCATTAACTGCTCCGCGAGTGCTTTGAAGACGCCGCTGCTACGTAGTCCTGCAGTCTCCCCTGAGGAAGGAACCAAGTCGGTTCCGAAACGTCGGGTTTCTTCAAAAGCTTTTGGTTGGAGCTTAAATCGTCTCCAAGTTCTTAGATTTTACTTACGGACCACTTTTTATTCTATATGGGAAAGAGAAAGACAGCGTTGCATACAGAAGCAGAGAATTTGAACCGGCTCCTGTACTGTACCAATTCTCAGAGATTTGTTAGTAGAACTTGACAAGAACATGTGTGATTGGCTCTAAGTTTTTAATATTAAAAAATGTTTGATAGGTGGATGATTTATTCATTTTCCTTGATTGCCATGCTGACTCCATCGATTATTTAGCCAATATAAGGCTGTTTTCTTCGAGCTAGAGGGCTTATCTCCTCTAGATGTCACACATGAGTTGCCGGTTGATGGTAGTATTCGCTTTCTGGACATCAAGCCTTTATTCCATGACGAAGGCTTCTACTGTAAGTACGACCCTTGCGCCAACAAGCCACTGATTTCGTATCAGTCGGCACACTCGAAGTCGGTGAAGAGAAAATAGCAAAGACTTGCTTGCTCAGTGCCCAAGGCAAGTCATGTACTGAGCGGTTGAGCAAAAATTTCAGTGAACAAATCGGCCGTCTTAGGTCTGCAGGTTACCATACGCATGTGCTTGTCAGTACAGCGGAGGGTCTTCTCAAGTTTAACTTCAAAAGTCTCCCAGCAACTTGGCCCGGCTGATACGTTCATAGACACACCGTATATGCACGGGTTATCACAACGACTAAAGAAGATAGGAAATCGTACGAACGTAAAAGTAGTGTTTTCTGCTCCCACTAACTTGACCTTTTTCATGATAGGTAAAGCGTTCTTACCGGCGAAATCCAAAAAAGAAACTTAGTGGCTTTGCGGTCAGTGCAACAGCGTGGGAGCTGGTGCATTCCTTTGCACCCATTGCCTCCGAGATGGTGCGCCGACAGGTTTCGGAGCTGACGAGCCACCAAAATGTTTCGGGGTGACGCCGTTGAAGTGTTTCTGGTGCACCTAAGCGGATTGCGCCCGTGATAAAGGTCCATTGTATATTCTGTGCAGTCGAACCAGACCTGTTTCATCGGACAAGCAGTAATGCAAAACGAAGTGTAAAAAACGCCAGACCTGCGCAGAAGGCTCAGCACAGTCACAGCGAAAGCTAGAGGAGCTGCCTTTCAAAGACTTCTCAACACACTCATTGAGTAACTACCTCAAGCACACTTGCTTGATACCCACTAGGGCATTATAATAATTTGGGGGGGGGGGGTAGTAGGCCGGCATTCTCTATGAAAGTTTTTGTGATTGTTCTGAGAAGCCTGGTATCCACTACATACTTACAAGGAATTTTGCGCCAATTGTTCATGCAGGGGCTGACGACGGTGAGAAATTATGGCTGATATGGGCATGCACCACAATTAGAGGGGAAAGAGTACAAGCTTTTGTAATGGGTTGGAGAATTCGACAGCCCGCTCATTACGCTATTCGAATTGTGTGACTATAGTGGTTGTTCTTTCCCTGTTATTAAACGCCTAATACATCGCATTAACTCGATTGCTTTTCCGACATCAAGCCTAAGGCAAGTTTGCCGACAAGCACCAAGCACCGGCGTAATTCAGTGGTAGAGTACTGGGCTGGCACCCAGCGAACCCTGGTTCTTCTATACCCCCTGTAGGCAATGCAGTAATTCAAGTGACACTGCAAGTGAAAATATCCGTTCTATTTTTGCCTCCATCGAAAATGCAGCAGCCGCAGGCCGATTCCACAGCCTGCGGGTCAGCAGCCAAGTACCTTAGCCACTAGACCACCGCGGCGGGGAAACACTGTTGCGAGTTAGCGCCTGTCCCGTTTTTCTCTGTCCACATTTTCGATGCAGTACAAAATAAACTACAGTAATGTGCAATAGTGCAAGGCTAGGTTACGCCCCGACCCATGGTCGTATACTATTCCTGAGGCCTGTTTTTCCGCCTCTCCAAATAAGTCATTTGAGAGGTTTTCGTATGTGACTAGAGAATCCCGAATGCCCAGAACCTCAACGCCACTGTAGCTGCTTGACCGACGGCTTCTTGCACAGCTCTGTAACCAACTCGTTTAGGTCACACCTCGATATGTCTCATCGGTGCGGGAAAAAACACGATCATGTATTGCTCTTTGATTTCCTTAAACCGTACGATCCGAAAGGCAGATTCTATTCGGTGCCCCGAATGCTCGGGAAGCCAATCTCGAGTCGCTGTAAATCGTCAAGCAGGGCCAAGGCTATTGCGACATGCTCCGCGACCTCGGCTGCCGTCTTCCGAACCCTCGGGGAGTTTTCTATTTTAACTGCGATAGCGTTAGAGAGCTCGTGTTGCAGAAATTCCGCCGTCGGCATCGGCACCGTTGGTTGTGAGCGAAAAATCGTCCATCAGCGAGAAATCAAGAAAGAAGCAAATGAAATAAACAACAACATTTTCGGTCCCACTGAGTACCGAGCCCGGGCCGTTCGCATGGCAATCAGGTGTCCTACCACAGTTCCATGAAGTTACTTGCAGCCGCTGCGGGAAAAACACTACATAAATGCCATGTAGTGGAAGGAGTCTCCTTAACGCATTTCGTTCGACAAGTATCACGAAGAAAACGGGCCCATTCGGCGATTTGTAGGTGCGTTTGGGAGGCCATCAAGCTACGTCGAGAAAG